CTCTCTCTCTCTCTCTCTCTCTCTCTCTCGGCTCTAATATCTATTTATACATTCAATATATTTTACTTAAGTTGTTGTGTTTGTCTGCTATAGAATTGCAACGACTATACACTTACTCTACTTTTTCCAATCCAACGGAATTAACAAATAAGTTATACTTTTCTATCCATACGATTGCCATATAAAGCCCACTCCTCCCGAGCCTCTCACCAGTAATACCTATTTTATATATTCACTGTCTATCGATAGCCTAATACTGTACTTTAATCTTATATCAAATTAAATTTGTGTTTAATCTTTTATGAGTTATGTAGTACTTGCTATGCTTTTACATATAATTAGGATTTTTAGTATACATATAATGATTGAATTTTTGAGTATTTTTGGAGATTTTATTTCCATTTTGTAGCCAAATTCAAGCGAATAAAAGTTCTGTTGACAATAATGTGGTCGTCATTGAGAGAGAGAGAGAGAGCTCACAATCAAACAAATTGTTTAGACAAGTGGTCACTGAAATTGTTTTTTCTGCTGACACTTCACTATTCAATCAATTCAATGGATAGCATGAGAGAGAGAAAAATATATTTGAAAAACAAATTCCGTGAATAAAATTCTGTATTCTATTTGAGACTGCAGTCGATTCTCGTATAGCCCATGGATTCACAAAATAATCTCATGTTTTAGTTATTTATCCAAAAAGTCTAAAACAATGACAACTTTTGAAAGCATTAAATCACACGGAAAGACATGTCTGCAAACAAATCCCGTAATCCCTGTCCGAGTCTTACCCTAATCTCGTGCGGCCTATACTGCGGTTCCATAAGCGGTGTCTCGGCTGTGGTCTCCGTTTCGCTACAGCCGTCAGCTATGGGTGACTCCCGACACATGTGTGACATCAAACACGACGACGGGCTGACCGACAGGGGAGGGCTGATCGACGACGGATGGGAAGACAGGATACAGTCGACCCTCGAGTTGGGTGACACCGGTTGGCCATTGAGTTGTCGCTGGAAATCGATTTGTGCGTATTGTGTGCCCGGATCTAAGGGCCCTATACTGCACCTACGCATGGATGTGGTGATGGAGCCCCCGGGGCTGTAGCTATTGATTGATCCCGGGCCGCCCACCTGGGATAGGGTTAGCTCGGCGTATGTTATGTCGTTTGCCGGACTCTGTAATGAATAAAATATACGCTAAGTTTGATTTTATAATAGAAATGGGGAAATGGATGTAAAAATATGGTTTCACATTAAAGTAATATTGTTGTAGAAAAAATGTATTATTACTGATAGTATTGGCAATGATTTTTACAAAATAGAAATCAATTCTGTACTTAAGTCTAACGCAGAATATATTTTCTGAAAGAATTTGTTATATGAAATAAAATGGATAGAAATGAGAGAAAAATATTTCTTTACAATTGAATTCAATTTGCGAAGAAAAAGATTACTTCCGCTCTGATTGTCATTTATATGTATTTCTGTGTAGTTATTAGAAAATCTACTCTTTTTCCCGATTGAGAGAGAAATCGACACTTTATTTCTCGCCATTTATTCAACTTTTTTGTTGTTGAGACAAATTTATTGACTAAAAATGCTTTTTATTGTATTGATGGAAATACAATAGACATTCAATATTGTCGAATAGAGTGTAAACTAATCTAACGATCATTAATGTTATGTTAAGTTATTGTAATATTGACTATTGTGCACACAATAAGCTTGGTAATTTAAGGGAATAGTCCTTATGTTTAATCTTTAAATAGAAAATTATTGTCTTATAGTATGTAATAATAAAAAAATTGGTTTAAAAACAAAAACTTGTAACTTGTACATAATGTAAAAATATGGTTCATTAAAAAAATATTTTGTAAACCAAGAATGGACTCGAAAAAATCACAAATAAATTTAGGTTTTATATAAAAAAAAGATTTTTATGTGAGAATAGAAATAAAATTCCAGTTATAAAAGCGAGTGAATAGATTTGTGGAAAACCATTATAAAAATTGCAAACTATCTCTCATTTTGTTTAGAAAATACTGCACAGAATAGCATTAAAATTAGAGTAAAAGTTTTTATTATAGTTATGGTAGTGATCTGTAATATTTATAATAAGCATATATAGTTTATTTATTCATTTGAGACAATAAAAACGACCAGACACTGTAAACACTAATAAAATATGTGTTACGACTTTCTCAATGTCTATAAAATTATTTAACATTATTTTTAAATAATTTAAATTTCTATAAATTTTTCGGAATATTCTGTAAATTGTAAGAAAGTCTGACTGTTTTCGTTAGATTCCTATAAAAAAGATATTTTTCATCAGAAAATGAAAGAATTGATTTGTTTGCGAGTGAATTGAAAATTTTAAAAAAGTATTTTATTTATTTATTTATTTCTTATACGTACTGTATATTTAAGCAGAATATTCTGTCAATAGTACTCATAGATACTTATATATGAAAGAAATAGATATAAGTAAATGAAAGTCTCTCTAAAAAAAGTATTTTATTTATTTATTTATTTCTTATACGTACTGTATATTTAAGCAGAATATTCTGTCAATAGTACTCATAGATACTTATATATGAAAGAAATAGATATAAGTAAATGAAAGTCTCTCTCCTATTCTTAAGTAACATAGAATTCCTATACAAATAGATTTCAATAAGAATTGAGAGAATATTTATTTTAGAATAATTGAGTTTTATATATAGAAATATAAGAAAAAGATTTTAATTTAATTAAATTCACTGCAAAAAAAGTATACAAGTATAAAAATTGAAAATCTTGTTTATCAATTAATTACAATGTATTTACTCATTTCTATTTACATTAAAAGTTTAAATAACTATTTTTAGAAATATTAAATCATATAGTTTTGATTATCAAGTGAAATGAAATTTTTTTCCCAAATAACTCACATATAATTTTAATGTAAATTTTATTTACAAACCTTAATATTTGGTCCGTTGTTATATTGATTATAATTAGCTATTTTGGCGTAAGTATTGTTTGTATTACTATTCCTATTATTACAGTTTACTGTCAATTGTTTTAATGAATTTAATTGAAGGCCATTACACGTGAGGTCAGAGTTTGTCAAACCTATTGGTCAAACAAATTATGCAAAATTAATTAATAATTATTATATTAATAATTAATAAAACTAATGATATATTATATATAAATTAAATAATAAAAATTATAATTAATATTAAAATTTGTCCAAAAAATAATTGTATTTCAGATCAAATCCAGGTCTAAAATGCTAATCATTATGTAGATTATAGTGCAATATTTATATATACACATTATGCATATATCATAAATATTTATAACATATAAATAAGGTTTTGATATAAAAAACAACATATGATTTAATTATAGATTCAGTGTTTGGATGAGTAAAACACATCATTTAATATAACGATTTTGTGTGGAAAGCAAAATATGCTTTTTTTCTCACCAGTCATTGAACTTTGCATTTATATTTATGTGTATCACTTGTATCACTATATTTGCGA